AATATATCGTTACAGTTTAGTTTTTCGCTTATTATCTAGCTGTGAGCATATGGATGAATCGTAGTTGGGATGAGTTGCTGATCATTTGATAGTGATATATGTTGGGTTCCTTTATTTGTTAATCTATTGAACCTAGTATTGATGAATGGTATTAAAAATCTACAATATAATAAGAGATGATAATGATGATGATGATGATAATGATAATAGCAGAAAAGAATGTATATCCATCAAGCATTTATTTTTTTGCGAAGATTTCTCACTCAGACTCATACATCAGATGAGAGCACTAAAGAGTAACTATTATCTACTTCATGGTCAGCGTAACGTATATGAAGCGAGAAAAACTTTTCATAGTGGTTGTGTCACTTTCATACGTCATTGAGTCCATTTAATGATAGGTGTTGATGAACGGTACAGATTAGCAAATCAAATATGATCAGTTTAAATAAGCTTTATATTTTTCATGCAAAACTCATAAATAATGCTCGCCCAGGGACTAGTTTAGCTCTCTCTCTTAAAAATGGTCTTTCTAAATCATCAGCAAACTATTTATTTATACAATTTCAAAAAGCAAAACAAGCACAGTATCGTTTTTCAGAAAATGTTAATAATTGATAATCAGCTAATAATCGTTAATTAATTAAAAACGAGCTCAGATTTGGATTCTCCACCCTCAACTACCTTTCGGTTAAGTTTTTGAGACAGCTATCCGTTTTTTTCTTGCATTGGTCTCCGGCCAATCAGTGAGGTGCAGACACACAGACAAGCCGACAATTTATGTTTGTTAGACTCTTCTCTACGAGAAAGAGAATATAATATATATCAATCTAAAATAGTTCTGGAAATCATGCTTAAATATAGGCTAATTGAGTAATTAATATACGAATATTATAAATGAAATTGAACAAGTCAGGAACGGAATAGAAAAACGAACTAGACAAAGTTTTAAATCTGAATGTACAAATATTTGACATGAAAAATGAATATCTCAGCTGAATAGTAGGAAAAAAAACTTTCCAATATATACACGTATATTCAATTATGAATTACAGATAGATATTAACAAACTTCTACAAATACTTGGTGAGAAATACACTCTAGTATTGAAATAGTATTTATATGTTCCTATACGAATGGATATTGCTACAATCGTGAAATGTTAAAGATTGATAAATAGTATTTTGACTACAGATCAACGCTTAGAAAAAAAAGAGAATCTTTTTTTTCATGTTTTAAGATTGATTATTTACGTGGTACTTTTACTTGGTGGTTATAAAAGTAGAATAATTCAAAGATTTCCTTGGCAGGTTTTTCGTTTGCGTCGACAAATATAGTATATTAAAGCAGCAGACAGTCCAAAAAGGAACCAGCTGAAAGTTAACATACCGAAAGATTGCATATAAGTAGAAAAAGGGGTTAGATACGACGAGATAGCATTTGTTTGACGCGTGAAGTCCATCAAACTGTGCTTTTCTTGTTCGGACATCTTCTTTTTTAACCATGTCATATTTTTGGTAATATACTGATGAACATTCATTACAGATATATTTTTAGTAAGCACGTCATTGCTATGCAATATAATGAGTGAAGACGTATTTGAACTTATAGGACGACCTACTAAAGTGAAGCCAGGACATGCGACTGTGTGACCTTCAGTTACATTTACAAGAGAAAAAGATGGAAGTATTATTTCTTCATTCATATTCCAGGTTTGTTGCATGGTACTGAGATATTCACTACTTGGAATTTTCACACAATGAAGTGATTCAGATGACGAAGTAACCCAAAAGTTATCTCTTAACTGTCGAACGAAATATTTGGCAGCAGGTATCGGTGCTGTTTGACATCTGGAGAGCGGAAGCCTTTCTATGATTTGATTGAGGCAAGTGTCATTTGAGATTGTACGAATAGGTGGAGTATCACGGCATGATGTCATCAGTCGAAGATCGCATCCGAATTCTTGAGGATGATACCATTCCATAGTGGTATTATTTATTGAATTAATTGCCCAGTATCGAGGAATTTGAGCGAGTTCGATTGTTTCATTTTCATGAAAGAAGGGAATCGTCAATAACTTGTAGACGTAGAAGGGTATTTGTTCTTGTCGTGGAACGGCAAAAAAACTAGTAATGACAAGACGACCGATTTCATCTGGGTCATTGGTTATATATTGTGACTTGGAAATGAAGTCTATCTGCTGGCGAACGAGAAGTTTAGTAATGATTTGAACAACTGGAAGTGATCCGGGGTAAGAATTAAATGTTAGGTTTCCTAGTTTAATAACGTTATATACCACTTTGCGTATGTCTTCTGGCGATAGAAAATCTAGGGTAAGTTCGTTATTACAGATTTGAGTTATTGCCAAATAAAGGAAGGAGTGTCGAAGCTGGAATTGTATATGTTCAATACCAGTTTTAAGAGTAGTGATAGCTTCGGAGTGTTTATCTAAGACAGGTAGTATTTCATCAATAGCGTCCTGTGTTATTTCAAGCTGCTCTGTAAGTTCTATGTGCTTTAAAGTAAGTTTTGCTAACTGTGCTCCATGTATTTTCACAGTCTGAGAGAATTTTGATAGGGTGTTTTCCACCAGTGCTACTTGTTGTTGAAGATTTCCAATCTGTATAGTATTTAATACAGACAAAGCGAGACTGGCGGCTCCAACACCCACACTGACGATAGAGTCAATGAAGTTTTTACGCCTTGTTTTTGCTGTAATATTACAGGATGGAAGGTTTTCTACAGCTGACGACGGCAGAAAGTGACATGTATATGGGGTCATTGGAAAAATCGCCGAATTGTGAATGATTTTTTCAGATGGAGTATACAATCCAACATAGTCGAGAAAAAGACCCGTTTCAGGATGTGCAATTGTTGTGTCTTTTGAAAAGATCTTACTCGAATACGCGTGAAGACGCAGAGCGGATAGACTAACGAGAAATGGGATGACTATGATATAATATTGCATGACTAATGTTGAGTTCTGTGCTTGTGATGCTCGTTGCTAATTTGTTTTGATCCACACTGTTTTTATAAGAGAGTGAAAATGATTTTCTGCAATATCTACAATAGATGAGGATAAGGGAGACAGAAAATATGGAAGATGGAAGAAGCGATTTTGATGCAATAGAAGGAAATGAATGCTGGTTCGTTAAAGCCATATTTTCTTTATACATATAATGAACGATTAATTCAAAATTTGCACGGGAAATCTCTGTTGCCGGCTTCTTTTGCCTTCTTATTTTTTTATGAATACAATAGCAAGGAAATAAAGAAAAAATGACAAATTAAAAACAAAACTGGAACAGGATAATCGATGTGTCTCAGTTCGTAATCAAAAGTTGATTGACAAATAGATGTTAATGGAACAATAAATCAAGTTATTTACTTTGGAGAAGTAGATAATGATCTTTATAGGTCAAAGATTGAAAAGTCATTTGAGTATATGATAACTTCAAACTAAACGAAACAATGAGCATAACGTTGCTTTGTTTGTTTGAAAATGACCGATAGCCTGTTAATCTCGGCTATTTGTCCTTTAGATGGTTTTACTTGCAAAGCATTAATATTAAAGTCTTGTAAAATGGTCAAATCCACGAGTTGTTGCACTCGTGAAAGTGGCACATAAGCCGATGCAACTTCTACCATTCCGGGTGGCATATTCAAGTCAATGACTATTTTTGGTAACGCTTGTCCCTGGCTCTTATGAGTCGTAATGGAATAAGCTGGTACTAATGGTAGACCTCTTCTTTTCACACTAATAGTAGTTTTGAGTTTTTTGGAATTGAGTATTTTCATGATCGGTCCCTTGTCCGCTTATAGTTTCTCAAGGTTAACTTCGAACGTTTTCTCGATCACAGGGATAGGAATAATAAGAGGATCAAGCGACTCTAAGTTTTTGATCTTTGATTTTCGTATTTCTAACAATGCATATTGAGCATTGCGCACAAACACAGTGTCGGCCGTAAAAATACTTTCGTCAGCGCCAGTAGTATGTTCTTTGGTTTCATCATAAATTAACTCATGAAATATTCCTAGTGTACCATTTGACAAACCAATTTCGCAAGCAATATTCTCCTGCAGCAATACAGGCATGCCAGGTACCAAAGGAAGATAGCCAGGTAAATGTTCTGTTTTGTTATCAGATAGCGCGAGAAGTCGTTTTGTCAGATCAGGTAGATCAATATGTTTTTTGGCTTTTATTGTATCTGTAGCGATCGCAACGGTTGGTGATCTGCCTGTTTCATATGCCTTGTTGATTACCGCTCGGTTGTTTAGTTCTGTGCGCAATTCATTTCGATAAACGAGAATTGGAGCCTAAAATTCCACATAAATAGAAGTATAATAAATAACCATTTAAGACCAATTATTTTTCTTAGAGCGCATTGTGAGAATTGATCAATAGATTAAAACAAAATTCTATTCTCGCAACTAGAATAGGTTTTTGTGAATCAAAAGTCTATCAGACTTCATCCGTTGGGAAAACTATTAGTTTTTATATGTATAGTTATGTTCACTCTTTCTTAAATCAGCTATTGAATCTCAGTCGAGAGAAATGATTGGTTATAAGGGAATAAAACATATCGTTTTATTAGATAGTTACAAGGAAAGCACCAGATTCTTCAAGAAAGATGGTCGACAATTAGTTTCTTATGAAGAATTTCATTTTATCGAATGACAGATTAAGTCATATATATAACATACTTCATTCCACGGTGGCTCATTGAGAGAAATGTGAAGTCCTATACTAATGACACGTGTTCGAAGCAAAAGCCAGTCTTCATGTGTGCATTTGCCATCGCGAACTCTATTCAACAATGCTTAATAAGTCACATCTTTTGTTCTCATTTGTTGCTCAAGTATCACGACACAATTACTCTGGAGAATCAGAGCTCGTGTACTCTTTTGTTGGATTTCTTTTTCCATAGGCAACTTTTTGTTATACATCGTCGTAGAAAAATCATAATAAAGAGGTTTGTCAAATACAGGTGAGTATTGAATGTAATCGCCGAACAAGATGATGTTTATACCACCCATCGTAGTCATGGGATCACAGTGCTTTGCTATTGCAACGAGTTTGTTTAATCGAGCCAACAAGCTAAGTCCAACCATTGACATTTCATCCAGAATGACGTACTCGACAAAACGCCACGCATTCTCGTGTGTGATTTGCCCCGATCGATTTATGACTTTTGATTTACTTTTTCGATTTCGACTATCGCCCAGAAAGGAATGAATTGTCATACCTTCGATTTCTGCTGCAGCAACTGAGGTTGGGGCCAGTTTTCGCAGTTTGTGTGCACGATTTGTCTGTGTGAAATAAGCGGTTGAAGCACGAATCAGCTGAGATTTTCCTGTACCACCACAACCAGGTACGCACATGATTAGTTGTTCTCGTTTCTCGTCTGCAAAAGCGATATATTCAGAAATAATTAGTTTTGTGACTTTATCGTTATACCTTCATTTAGTATATCAAGTCCATCCAAATGACCTGTAATAATCATAAATGCACCATTTTGGTTTTTATTAAGCGTGAACTGTTGTGCAATGTGGTCTCGAGTTTTTCCATTGGGTAGAGTAATCCTACTAACCGGTACGATGCATCGGTGATTCAAGAGACCATTATTACTATCAAAATTTAACGAAACGTTCTCTTCAATGGTTCCAACTAGTTCATTCACATCGGTGTCATTCTGCTCGTTGAGTGTGCTCTCCGTTCTTTCCATCATACAGGCATTTCGCCTCCGTTCTTTTTCGTCTTTGATTTGGCGTTGCCATCTGTTATTCAGTTGAATCAGTTCAGTGGTAACTGGTATGAGATGTTTTCGATCGAAACAAATCTGCTTATTTCGTGTTCTGGTGTGGATCAGTGTCTTTGTCGAACCCATGCATGAAACTGTACATGACATAAATGAAGAAAATCTTTTGTAAATTAGATACTTCTTACCTTGGATGTTAGAGAATCGATTGACCTGATCAACAGCTTGCGCTACTTTTTCGAAATATATTTGTTCTGACTTGGTTTCTGGCTCTTTCAGAACTGGAATATCTGACATATCAATAGTTTCTAACACATCAAAAATGCCGGTATTCTCATCGTCTCTATCACTATCGTTACGGCTAGGGTATAAGTTATCATTTACTACTTCACTCTATGCAGCTTCTATCACCTGCTGTAAGTGTTCATCTCGATCATTCTTACATTCCTGTTCCCTAGACTGAAAGGCTAGGGTCTAGAAACCGTAATTCACCTGTGTCTGTCTGTCTGTCTGTCCGTCTGTCTGTCCGTCTGTCTGTCTGTCTGTCTGTCTGTAACAATGACACAATTCACCGTTCGTGTGGCACAAATGACCATTTCTGTGGCACAAACGACTATTTCTGTGGCATGAACGACCATTTCTGTGACACAAACGACCATTTCTGTGGCATGAACGACCATTTCTGTGGCACAAATGACCATTTCTGTGGCACAAACGACCATTTCTGTGGCACAAATGCCCATTTCTGTGTCACAAACGACCATATCTGTGGCACAAAGGACCAGTTCTTTGGCACAATAAAC